CCCGTGGCCTTCGCCCGAGCTGGCCGGGGGTCCTGCTGTGTCACCATGCCGGGAGCGGGGCAGTGAGGAGGGCAGGTGCCTGGAGCATCGTCTGTCCAGTCCCGAGCATCCCCATGGCTCCCAGGGCGTTCACCGCCAGGTCCTGTTCACCACCGTGGGATGGTTTGTTGGCTATTTCCTTGCTAAACGTACGGAGTACATACATGCCAAACGGGACCGAGAGTTGTTTGAGTACATCAGGCAGCACCCGGAAGACTTTAAGGCAGCAGGTACAATAAGTTGGTATTTTAAGACAGACCTCAGCCTGCCCTAAGGTACCAGTTACAAAGTGCTAATGTGTGTAAAGGCGTTGCCGGGCTGCTTGCAGCATCTCTTCTTTTCTAGCAAGTCGTACCGACTCTAACTCTTTCCTGCTTATTCACAATCTAAATTGCAACGGTATTAAAGATTTTATGATGTGAAAATAGATGTTTTTATGGAGCTGATCAGCTGCCTTGATGACCAACTCCTCCTCCTAAAAGCTTATTTTAATATAAAAATGGCAGAGCCAAAAAAAAGAATTAGAATAGACCCAACTTGTGCCAGTGAAGGAAAAATAAAGTAAGTAATGAAAATTAGAAACGACAGGTTTTATTCTTGTAAAAATCACAGTTTTACTGGTTATTCTTGTAAAATTGCAGTGCCTGTTGATTTAAAAATGGTGTGATGAATATTCAGAAAATAAGCAGAGTGGGTGAAAGAAGAAGAAATAGAAACATCGGGAAATCTGAAGCGCTGTTGGCTCTTGCTGGCTTAGAACGTTGGTGAAGAACAGCGTTTTCCTAAATGTAGTCACTAAACCCAGCAATGCAATGGCAAATTTTGGTTAAAATTGTCTATTTTATACTAAAATACAGTTAGGTGCCTCTGGCTGTTGGTTTGTAATCCGCATAATGCCATTTTGGAGGGAATCTGTAGAAGTAGAGAACTGTCAGTATTGAGATCTCCTCACAGGGCTCTGCACCCCTGTGGAAAAGGGGTTGGGTATTTAGTTTATGCAGCAAGCTAATAGTTCGCTGTTGGTAGCAAAAAACAGGTTTTGGTGGCTTTGTTAACCTTAAGACTTAATATTAAAAATCTGCAGAATTGGTCTTAAATGCTGATTAGGTTTTCACAACTCTGCCCGTTGCCTTTTGTAGAAAAGAAAAGAATAGGAGAGCTTTTGGAGGATTTCTACCCGGTTCGCTGAGGATTTCTCCAGCGGCGACATGTTGCAGGATACGTCTGCTGCGCTAATTCCATACCGAGAACTTTGGCGGGCTGGCTGTAACTGTTCAACCGTCCATGGCTTGGGAAATGAACCATTACTCGCTCTCACGTAATACAAGCTATGATTAAATACTCTGTTTAATTATTTGTTCTTCTGTTACGTCACAGTGTATCAACATATAGATGACGGGTATTTGTAATGGGATAACAACTTCGATTCACCCCTTTTTCAGTTATTTGTGAAAATGGAAGATTGTTCATGCAGGATATATCTTATAAAAAAAACCCAGAAAGTAGCTGTGTAAATTCCTCCTTTTTATTTCTCATCGGCGTTTCTCCTAACCCTTAAGCACGGTCTGGACCAGCTCCTGTAGATGCTAGCCAAAGTTTTGCTGTGAAATTAATTCTATCCTGCTAGCGAAAATAGATGCTCTCCCTAATTAATTCCCTCTCTCTATTTTGCATTCTCGCGTTACTTTTCTTTGCTGGGAACCAGGATCCAACCTTTCTACTTTCTCACTTGGTTGTTGGCTCCCGAATCCACATACTGAACCCAAGCGTTTTCCAGACACGCTGAGGATCTGCAACTCTTCTGAATTTCACTGCAGGGTGCTTGGCACCTCTGGACATCAAAACGCCTCCGGCTGAGGCTGCTCCAGTTGCGAATGTTTTGGTTTTTTTTTTTATCTAATTACCAATCTCCTACGCTGGTTTTCAGCATCTGCCCTGGCTTCCTCCTGCGCTGCCGCGTTCCCCCTGTGCACTTGGTGCGACTTTGTGCGGCGTCTCAAAGCGCCTTCCCCAGCGCCTCTCCCCTGGGGAAGCCTCTTGCTGCACCCTGGGCGCCGCTGCCTCACCCCTGCTTCCAGCCCAGTGCCGCGCTGAGGCGTGGGACATGTGGGTCCCTCTCCTCGCCTCGTCACCGGGGTCTGATCCTGCTCCCAGCAGAAATTCCGAGCTCTTTGGATCCGCTGGTGAAAGCGATCGCGCCAGCGGAGCTCCGTTTGCAGCCACTGCTGTGGCCACTGGCTCGCCTCTCTCTGCTCCCGTCCCCTGGGGGCCCTGTGCTAGAGGGACAGGGGCGAGCGTCCCCCTGACCGTGCCACACGCCTGGGCCCTCGTTCAGCAGATACAGCGCTTTTCCTGCCTGGAAAACGGATCGCTGTCGACAAAATTAAGAAATTCTTTACAAGAAGGCTGGTGAGATGCTGGGACGCGTTGCCCAGAGAAGTTGTGGATCCCTTGAAGTTTTAAGGTCAAGTTGGACGGGCTTTGATCAGCCTGATCTAGCGGACGATGTCCCTGCCCAAAGTTGTTGCGTTAAGGAGCAACATGACCATCAGCTGGATTAAATAGTGAGCAGGGAATTACAAAAGGGACTTTTAAACGAAGAAGGAGTCGGCCTGAAAGGAATGGTCAGCACTCCCAGCGCGAGGGAAGGAGCTCGGAGGGGCGACGGCGGGGACCAAAGCCTGTTGGATGCTGCCAGAGGCAGCCCTGCTGGC